CAGGTTCCTTAACTATGCTCAGCTTCCTGACATAGGCACAGGCATGCAGATTATTATCTGAGTGATACCATTACGGATGCCCATCCAGACACAGACCTGGATGTCAGATAGCGTTAATCTCTAGTTTGCTGGGTAGAGCTGTTTTTAGATTGCTGAATCAGGGGATATGCTAAAGATTTATACTAGAGAATGAGAATTAGTCATGTTGAGTGAAACCAGAAAGAGCAGTGGGGTCCGAACCATGGGATAAAGATTTTGTAATGAGCAGAGCCCTCAGGAAATAAAAGGACCTGTATTCCTTCTAGATCATTTTCCTCAGTCTTTTTGCATAGTGCAGTTAACATAGCAAACAGCAGAGCCTTAAAAGTGCTTTAAAGTGGAAAGCCACTTGCAGTCGTATCACTGTTGTAGGAGGAGATAGTAAACGCACAGCAAAATGGGCTGAAAGCTGTAAAAAATAAGAGAATAGGGAGAGGTGATTCTTCCTACCTAAAATCCCAGCCTGTAGCAAATGGGATAGCCTCGAATAAAGCAGGTTGCAGTTCAGGCACGTCGGGTGCCCCTTATTCCTTGGATGTGCCTTATTGAGGCTTGCTGCAGATTGGGAAAAAGGCTGATGAGAAAGGTAGGGTTGCAAATTGAGAGTCAGTATTGGCGCGTATCGTGCCAGGGCTGACCTCTCCCCGATGAGGAGGTCCATCAGGCTTGACACAAAACTGTGCTGCTCTTGGAGGATGTCCGAGCTGTGAAGACTGAGGCTGAGTGTGCAACTTGCTGCTGCTTCTCTCGTTCTCAGGTCGAGGACCGAAAAAAGAAAAGTGACAGTATCCAGCCTTCTCTGCAGTGGTCAGCAGCGCTCGGGCATGAAGCCACGCCGCACGCTAGGATGGGCTCTGGCAGTAGTTCTAGTCCTTGCACCCCCGCGATGCAACGAGCGGTGTTAGTACAGGTACGGTATTGCTGCTCCAGATGGGGAAGAGAAAGCGTGGGATGGTTTCTAGGCAGAAAAGTAAATGGGAAACCTGATTCTCTCCACTTCCTGGCATAAATGACGGAGGACTGTGACAATCTGCCTCAGAGATTTTTAGTGCCACCGTGTGCTACTGAATTATAAGTGGAATTATATTTAGGCATTGCAAATTGGGGTTAGATAACAGTTATTTTTAGATACTTGATGCCTGACTGTGCTGAGTCTATGATGTTACTCTTAGATGTTTCACAGAAAGCCTGAATGAGTATGCTGTTTCAGTCCTTGGGTGGTACATTATTTATATGGCGCCATAAATATTTGTGGCACTTTACAAAACAACTCCAAAGCCAGAGTTTTTACCCCTGAAGACCACATATACAAGCAAGATTTTTAGTGATCTTTTGAAATAATCTAAAAGCATGCAGAGATGCAGTAAGGACTAGTTAGCAATGCAGAGTCAGATTTTGCCTCCAGGTAGAGCCCATAAGGACTACAAAGTCCCATTTCTGTTCTTCAGTTGCTTCATCAACACTTACCCTCTTATTGAAGAAACATGATTTCAGATGCAAATGCAAGATCCCTAGCTCTTAGGGCAATGTACTCGAGGCAACAGATCTTCTAGCCTTTGACCAAGAGTTAATACTTATATGCATACAGGACTTTTCTTCTGAGTGTAAAGTGCCTACAGTGGCACCATCCTTTGTGCACTAGCGAATATGCTGTCCTTCTGGAGTGGGCTTATAGGCTCCGATGAGCTCTCTCGTTTGTACACGGGTGGCTACGTGCTTGCTTTCTTGCTGAGATGTGGAATATTTTAGACATTTATTTTACATCTTCACACCTTCCGAACTAAGCTTTTCACACCTTCCTTGTTTGAAGGTGCTTCTAAGAGTTTTTTCATGTTCTTTTATGCTCATCTCTGCAGCTTCTATATATTTTTGTCAATTTGACAGAGGTCACCCAACATCTGTCAGTTAGATATTGATTTCTGACCTGACTGACTTGAAAAATTCTGGTATGAAAGGCAGAAGTGGTACCTGAGCAGGTCACTCTGTCTATACTGTGAAAACATCCTGAAAAAGTTCTCCATGAGAATTTTTTCTCAAAATATTTTAGTTCCTACCATTTCTTCCAGTTCTGGGTGAGCAGATTTAGTGTTCTCACAGTGTATCCAAAACCTCAGTTTCATTTCAACATCCTACTGTTTGGCAGTGTATGAAATAAGTATTTTAGGCTGCAGTTGCTTTTCCCCTCCGGTCTCTTGTGAGGGGATTGTGAGCGTGTGTGCGTGAAAGAAAAGCAAGACAGCAAATAGACACTGAATAAGACACTGTATGTGTGAGCACAGCTCATTTCAGCTGGAAATCTCCACTTGTTTTGAAAACAAGCAGTGGCAGGAATAACCTTATTGCTGTTATAATTCCCACAGCGCTTTGTTCCTGTGTTCTTTCATCCTCTCAACAAGATGGACGTGCAGTCATAGCGTTCATATTGTTCTTGAAGGGGCTCAGTTATGCTAGACTCTTAGATGGCTGAACAACTCCCGACTGCCTCTCCAGTTGCTTCTGTGTGGTTTACTTAGCGGTACCCAAGACAGCGGTATTCAGCTCAGGCTTAGACATTCTTTGTGCACAGCTGTGGCGTCTTGTGGCCTCGCTTTCTAGTCCGTTGGATTTCGGCATCAAAGGGGGAAGATCAGACCCCAGAGGAAGAGGGCCTGGGTTATTAGCTTCAGCTCGGCCGCTTTCGGAGTGTATCGTGATGCCTCACTGCTGAATTGTAGCAACAAGGAGGGCCTGTGTACTTGTTCGAGGCTACTTGTGATTACAGGTTATTGCCATTATCCCAAGCGTCTTCAGCTCATTGCTAGCCACTGAAATCTTGCTTGGCAGAAGCTTCTGGTGAACATCCTGCATGGAAGATGTGGAAGTGCTGTAAAAATCATACCCTCGTTAGCAGCTTTGCTTACTACCCTTGTCTACCCGTGTCGAGCTCAGTGCGTCCAGGTCAGCGCTGCTTGTAGCAGCACTCTTGTGTTCTGCCTTCTCTGGCTGTATTTTTGAAAGTGCTCCATATTTCCTTCTTCCTCAACAGCCAGAGTCCTCCAGGAAGGCAGATCAGGCTTCCTGGCTCAGCTCTCCCTATACCTTTGCTTCCTTGTATGTGCTACAGTGAGTCTGTGGGAGGCAGATGATAGCTGGCTATTAGCATCTTTAAGTCAAAGCCTGCCCATGCCTTTCCTATTCGGGTTGCCATTGCCTGCTGGTGACAAATAAATTGTCATAGACAGCTTTTGGAAAAGGAAAGGCCATGATTCGTCTGATAGCTTTTCACTGGGAAAATACTTGTGCATCTTCTCACAACCCTTTTTCCAGGGTCCATTTATCATTTCAAGTTATCGGCTTTGTGACGAGGCTGAGTTGATGGCCTGGCTTGCAGAAGGCCACACTAAATCACTAGAGAGCTGGAGCAAGGTCTGCAGGAAGGACGTTTGTATCTCAGCTTTGGATAAGGCTGACAGCTTCCTTGAGGTGCATGTTTCAGCTCTGCCACAGAAGTGGGAGAGTGAGAGAGTTCACTGCATGGCATTTTGGATTTGTAGGAGCTCAGTGGCTGTGCAGGGAATTGTCCTGCCTCATTAAAATGCCACTCGCTGGGTGAAAGGAGGTATGTTGTAGTCTGGCTGTGACCCAGACTTCTTTGTCACCTAGGACAAGTCACTCAAGCTCTTTGTGCCTCAGTCTTCCTGTTGGTGCTTCTCTGTTTAGTAGTACATCTCCCAGGTACTTAGGGGAGTTGTGAGGAATGAATCACTACTTATCACCCTCTTTCACATTCCTCGATAGAAACGATGCTATAAAAATTCGATGCTACTTAAAGTGATGATGTTACTCAGGGATAATAGCAGCAAGCGATATATGGTTGTTGCCCTGTGATTTCACTTCCTGCTGGAGGCTGCCCTGTTACCCACGCACAAGTCAGTGCTCCCCGGTTGATGGAGATTGTGTCAGACAGGGAGAAGCCAATCTGTGATCTTACCTGCTGTGTTCGCGTGGAAACCAGATGAACTTCAATGTGCAGTTTATAAATCTTCCTAAAGGCTGCATTTCCTTTTGCTGATAGGCAGCAGCTGTTGATGCTACTAGCTGTGTGTTTGGAAGTGTATATTAACTTTATAAAGTTATACTGCGATATGAGTGATAGGCCAGTTAGTCACCTGGCGATTGAAAGACTCAAAGCAACATAAAGTTCAATATGTTGGTTCATGTAGGTTAAAAGGAACTGCAGAGCAAAAATGCAAACTGATTTCCTCACAGATGTTTATGCTGAAGAACATCTATCCAGGTTTGTCCCAGAGGGATCGTCTGTCATCAATATTCTACTCAAATAAAAATGATTTCTTATTTTAGACTACTGCATGCTGTGAGATTTTATGGTACCTTCCTGGCTTCCCAAATCTCTCTCAAAATGATTACACCAGAAATCTTACTGCAGCTCCCGAGATGAAAGGAGCAAGATTTCTCAGTGACTTGTACCCTATGTAGTTATCTGGTAGGGGGAATGTGCGATATTACCAGATCAGTGTGTATCATTTTCATCTATTTTGTGCCTGTTTTTTATTTGGTGAGAAGTAGCACGGTGGCAGATCCGGTCTCTGGATGTCCGTGGTATCCGGGATGAGCCATTCTGGGTTAACCGCAGAATTTTGCAGAGGCTTTGTGAACTAAGTCACTGAGTTTCCCTGCCCGCTGTCTCATGCTGTCCGGCTGGTGGAGGAATTTAGCACACATCTGACAGGAACTCCATTTGCTAAATGACTTTGGGCTTTTCCTGCAGGATTTGCTAGTTAGGGCTCCCCTACCGTCTAGAGTAACGGGGCCAAAACAGAACAAGAATTTTAACCGTATTAAAATAACTAGCTGTACCTTATATCATGGATTGATCCAGTATCCCAGAGCAGATGTACCCATAAGTTTAAGAAAATTCCATTCCATATGCTGTTTTTGTAACAACATTTGCACATATCTAGCCCCATATGTAGACTTGTTTCAAATTGGTAACTTGGGCATCCCCCAGAAAGCAATGCAGCCTGTCTTTTTGAAACTTCTCACTCCTAAATCTTTTTGAGCCAACTCTAATACTAATCTTTTATGCTATGTCATGCTGTGTTGCAATTTTTAGGAAGCAAAGGGTCTCTCTCCTTCTCTCTGTTAGGATGTGCCTTTATGGTTCAAGGACATCTAGTAGGTAATACCTCATCTATCAGTGCTGTATGCGTGTGAGAGGTGCTGCTGTTGCAGTATTACTTACTAAAAAACAGTTTAAGGCTCAAGTTTAGAATTACTGTTAGGTGTTTCCTCCCGTACAAAAGATTCTATCTGTAGAAGCTTAAGGAATATACAACAATATCATTTTGGGGGGTTATCTGAGATGTTTCTGGCTTGCTGTGGAGTCGCAAGGTATTGTAGGTGCTACTGAAATCATCCCCAAAACATGTGTTGCTTCTTGGCTTTACATGGCACTGGCGTACTGGTCTCTCTCTGCCCAAGGACAGTAGGTCGGTACCACCTGTGGAGGGTACATGGTTTGGATGCACCCCAGTCACTTATACCATGATTCAGTACTGCTTGTCCCTGCTTTTTAACCCAAATAGCTTTCTAGTTGTCTGCAGAACTCAAAAGCTGGAATTTAGGAAGAAACTTAAGTATCTTGTTGAAAAAGTGGTAAGGAAAAAGTCTTCTATGCCCCGATAATAATAGACTTACTGTAAAACCTATTTCTATCCCCAAGATGAGTCATTTCAAGGGAACACTTTGTTGTTAAAATAATTCCGGTTAACTAAAAACTATTATTAGTGACAGTCATGTTGGACAGAAAAATAATTTTGATAAAAGGAAAGGACATGGGTTATTAGATGTTCTAACTGCTGACACAGCAATTTTCTGTAAAGGAAGTCAACAGAACATATTATCCCAAAAAGGCAGAAAAAGCATTTGAATATTTAACCAAGTGCTGAATATTTAACCAAGTGAAATTGTCAGGACTTTTTTTCCCCAGCTAACTTTCCTTTCCTGGACTGGGAGGTTGTGAAGGGACATTTGAATAGATGTTTGTCATCTTTAACTAGCTTTATAATTACTTCCTATCAATATTTTAGCAATACTGAACATTGTTCCCACAGAATAATTAGTTTTGTAGAGTTATAGGGAGTTCATATAACCACATTTCATTCTTGAAAGACTGCAGTTCTCAGTTACTGTGTTTTACTTTTTAGTATAGGTTACTTCCATTAAAATTAATGGAGTATTAGGTAAATACTATTGCCATGCATTTGTAGAGTCTTTCCCCTGAGGAGCCTAGGGGGACAGGAGAATTTTGCAGACCTCAGCTGATAAATCAGTAAAACATTCCTCCGAGTCATCCTTTGGGGAAACTGAACTACAGCTGCCTCTGGGCTGAATTGCAATAATTCGGTCAGGACACAAGAGTGAAGACTTTGAGTTGGACAAAAATTTCCGGCAGGATTCTTTCTAAGGACTGCAAGTGGTCAAGACACGCAGTGCCTTTGAGCAAGATGTGTCTCCTGGCAGAGGTGTGTTAGTGTGCTGAAACATGGGTTCAATCTGACTCTGGGAAGGGTGTCACTTGATGATGAACTAATAGCACTCCTGCTGCGTGCATGTGGTCTCCGGAGAGCCCCCATCCTCTTCTGCACGTGAGATCTGACAAGATAAAGCACGAAGTGGTCTCTCTAATGTATTTGCTATTTCTCAGTTTGGTTCTAGCAAAAATTCCTCAAGGTGGGCCTGGCTCACACAACATTTCCATATATGCTAGCTCAGTCTGGTGTCCAAGAAGATTTCTCATTTCAGAGACAATCAGTACTTCAAGTTGACGTTTCTAGCTCTCTGATAGATTATTAGTGTATAGCATTTAAGGACATTTTCCTTCTCCTTTTTAAAATACAGAACTAATCAGTGGAACAAATTTTGAGTATTTTAGCTTGAGTCGTTGTTCCCCTGCAATGAAGACTCGGTAAGAAAGTGGCTTGTTTGCTGCTTTGTTTTTTTCCTGATCAGAACATTTACAATCCTAATACCCCCCCAACTTGATATCATTCAAGACATGTTTTAAGCACAGATAGTCCCAAACTAAAGCAGTTGGGCATGATTGCTCATGAAGAGTAGTCTGAGCATAGTTTCTGATTTGTTTCTTGCTGCAGTCTCAAATTTGATTGTTAAAGTAGTTGCAGATCTCTGTTGCAGAAGAGAGCCAGCACGCCCTTATAAGCAGTGGAGAGTTATAAGCATTCCCAGATGGCGGTTTGTCTCCATTGACTGGGCTTGCAAAGACTAGTTCAGAAGTGGACAACTAACTGGGGGGAGATGGATTCCTGTGATGGTTATACGATCTAAATTGAGAAATAGGAGCATGAGTGAGGTTTGGAGGAAATATACTTACTTGACATTGACTTGTGCATTAAAACTTTTTTGAATTCTTTTATTGGCAAAATCTATTTTACATCATCCAATTAAGCAGTTGGCTATGTATCACCAGTGACCTATTAACTTCTCCATAGATTTAGGGTGGGGAAACGTATGTACAGCACAAATGTTTTTACTGAGTGTTTCTTTTTATTCTACCTTTCACTTAGAAGTATTTGTGCTTAACACGCTGAAAATCAATAGTTTACTTTACAGTGAGTGAGGTAAGTAGGGCTGTTATTATATGCGAATACAATACACTTCACTTTAGGCATTTACTAAAACTTTGGTTTACAAACAAAATAATTGACACCTGTGCATTGGGACCTGTTATATAGGCAGGGAAGTACAATTCAATATGTATTTCATTTATTTAAAGTGTGAAAATTTCCGGGCTAGTAGAGATGCATACCACAGCAGTTCGCTGTCAGATATGGTGACAACACCAGTCAGCCCTGGACAGGACGACGTATTCTGGAGTATGAGTCAAAATGAAGAACAGCCCCCGAAGGTATGTGAAACGAGGGTGTTTAGCCCTGGCGGTGGCTAGTATCGCTCAAGTCGGTTCCCCTGCACTGAGTAGTATCCACACGCTCGACTTCAGGAAACTGAGTGAAAATATTATCTCGTGTATATTGACTGGGTCTCACTAATGTAGAAAAGAGCCTCTAAAGATGCAAATTTATACTGATTAAGCAGATCTGTGTGTGTGTGTGTGTACACACTATCGGTGGAATTTGGTGGATGTATAGATACATCTGTGTTGTGAGATGGAGTATTTGTACATTCCCTTTCTGTGAGGAACCTAGTTTATTGCAGAAAAACTCATTAGTGTGTATAATTCAGGTAATGTTATGTTTCTGTTTTTAACAGAATTCCGAAGGACAAGTGTAGAGTAATAGGAAGGGTGTATTTGCATGCATGTGTGTATTTTTTTTTTTTAAACTTTGCACTTGGTGACTGCAGATGTGTTTCCCTGTCTGCTTTAAATATTGACCAGGAATAATGCTGACACTAGGCAAAGGTGCAATGCCGCTTACAGACGACGCCTTGATAGATTGCACAGGCTCAGAGCAAACTGGAAAAACCTGCTGCTGACATGCAGCTTCCAGTGTTGATATCATGAAAGACCCAGCTCCAGAAGTACCACTGAAGCATTATTCTTTTATGTTGGTTAGTCTCGGTTTTGTATTGATACAGGGCAAGCGTTAGGTTTGTTAACTAGGTGTAAAATATCAGTAGCAAACTTAAAACATTTGATTAAATCCTTAAGGTTCCAGAAAGGACAACCTCTAAATATTACAGCAGGGATCAGCTTGGCCATCAGAGATGTCTTTCAAGGTAAGCTCTTCTGTGTTTTATGCTTATACTAATGTTGATTTATTATCAATAGGAAAACTGAAACCAGCTTATTAAAACCAAAGCCCTAACCTCGGTAACTCTAAAACTGACATTGGTTCATAGCTCATTTAATGACAGTTACAGTTATTTTTTTTCTTTTGAGTCAGCTTGTTCACTAAATAACTAATGAAATGTCTTGATCGTGAACCTTAAGGAAATGTCTAAGCCAGCTTCCTTTCAGTGATTGACATACCTGATTTAGAGAGAAACAAGCCTCGTATAGATCACCCCCTTTTCATGCAAGGTAGTTCTGTCCTCTGATGGAAAGCAGTATTTTTGATATATAAGCGCTGATCTAGCAAACGTGCTTCATCGGTAATAATTCCTGCAAAGAGTTGTTTCGTCTGATCCAGCCTATTTGGCTTGCCTCAGTGGATTGCATGCAAGTTGTGCCTCTGATTCCCTGTTAATGGGCGTTACATCGTGCAGTTGTTTAAGCTCCTCTGTGTGGTTTGGTGATGCTTTACTTCCCCTTCACATTAGAGTAAGTGACTGCTACCAGTGCTGGTTACTGGAGATCCTAAATTATTGACATCTCATTGTGGCAGGGGGTGGTGTGAGTGGCTCAGGCAGGCTGTTCGGATGCTCTTCCAGGTGCCCTGTGGTCCATCGGCACCTGCACCTCAGTTTCAAAGGGGAGGTGGGTGCCTGGACACTTTGGGGAGTGACACTTCTGTCCCCAGCTCCTTGCCTCTGCACTTTAATTACAGCTCGTGAAGCTTGTGTGTGTGCCTTTGCTCTGCCTGACAGCAGTTTAAGCAGACAAATACATGAGAGGGCTGTTGGGAGGTGTTTTTTGACAATTTTGGCAGTCTGTCCTTGAGGCTAGAACATTCTCTTCATGTCCCAGGAGACATGACCAAGGATGCAGAGAGCTCAACAGTAAAGGGGAGCCCCGACAGGATGTCTAATCAGGGAATATAGTGCTGTGGGAAACCGGGGCTGGAGAGATTGGAAAGGGAAGTAGATTAAGCTGGCATAGCAAAACGGTGTGCAGCACTTCGGAATAGTTACTCTTCAAGAGCCAAAGTCAGAAACGCCATCTGAAATTGCTTTCAAGTGACGTCAGGCCCTAAATGCTCTCTGCTTAAGAATTATAGGAAGCAAAGAAGAAAGGAAACATGTAGGTAAACCACAGTGTTGCGAGTGAGGAGTTTCTTGGCCTGTGATTTCTGGCCGAGCCCCAGTTTTATTTTTCAAGCTTAGTAGCTTATTTTCCTGTCCTGTGTATTCCTTTCTCGGCTGATAAGGTTGATAAGGATATATCCCCTAGGAGGGTGCTGGAGCAAGATTCCAAAATCTCATGGCTTTTACAAATAATGAATCAGGAGTGATGCAGCTTCAGAGAGGCAGAGGTACTTACAGCAGGATATCTTGTAGTGACTTTTGTAATCTCCCAGAAGGAATGACCAGAGGAAACTATCCCCTCTATCTCCTTCTCTCAGTACTGGGTGGCCCTGCTTGGAACAGCAGTGAATGCGAAGTTTTTGTTTATCAAGAGTATTATGTCGTGTGGTAGCAACAGGGAACTCAGTGGCCTGGGAGGTCCGTTCCAGTCTGTGTTCCTAAATGCAAAATTCGTCTGTTTTTTGTCTTTCTGTTTAGTAACACTCATCAGCCATCCCCTGGGACACATGTTCTGAAACTAAACAGCAGCAATAGCTCTCCTGGCATCAAGCAGTGGGAGATGGGATCTCATCAGAGCAGCCGATCAACCTCAGGTGATTCTTAAGTCAATGATTCATCCATCAAAATGTGCAAAATTCGTATCACATGAAATGGGGACTTGTGTGCTTTGCTAATAGGATTCTTGTTAAATGTGTAGCTTCTGGTGATAGGCTTCTGACAGCCCTCTGGATTTTATGGTTCCCTGTTTCTAAAATGTAAACAGTTGCTCTTTCAAGGCAGAAAGTGGCTGGGAACATATTTCCATGCAGAAAATTTGGATTGCCTCAATTAAGAAGTGGAAAAAAAAAATCATCTCTGTTGCACGTATGGATGTTACTGAAACTCAGCAGAGCTAACACTACAGACCTACAGGCCCATTTCAATGCTAATATTCACTTGTTGGCATTTTCTGCACAAACTTGCGCTGCTTTTTTTTTTTTTGCATTGCCCACTAGTCAGATGAGCAGTTGTTGTATGCTGATATTTCTGCACTCTGATACTGTATTGGCTTAAGGAAGCATAAGATTCTCCACATACCATGTTGTAAAACATTCCTCTAGTGTCCTTTTATTTACAGAAGCAGAGTGCAACTGAAAAAAAGACAAAAGTACAAAAATAGATAAAAAGTACAGCTACGAAACTGTACTTTGCTTAGAATGGATGAAGCTAAGGTATCCTGGTATTGCTAGTAGTGGTGTTAGGGACACAGTGGGCTTGCTCATGGCTGCGCAGAGCATGTGCAATACAGGCTCTGGCTCCTACAACATGACTTCACGCTCTAGGAGATGGGGACGTGGGGCGGAAGTGGACAGCCTTGTTCCTCTATGGTTACTCCTTAGGGCGTTTTCTATAGGTCATCTCCAGGGCAATTTCTTGTGCAGCTCTTGGTGAAGTGCTGATGTTCTATACCACTTTGCATCCAGGGTGGCAACTAAAGACATGGGAAGTCATGCCCAGTTAAAGGCAGGGTGGACACTAAAAGTGTTCTGAAACCACAGTAGTAAGCTAATGAGATCATTTATTTTTAAACTGAAGTTCACATTGTTAGCTTACGAACCCTTGACAAATGAAGAACAAATTGCTTATTTATTATGCTTACACAAGCAAGCCAATGTTGCTTTCACTAACCGTACAGAATATGAAGCTTTGCTTCAAGAAGAATCCAAAGCACACTATAAACTGCTTGGATTTTGTTTCTTTTGCTCTTATGTCATTTTATATTTGAATAATAACATAGTGGTGAGCAACATGCAACAGCCCAGCTCAACTTTGCAGTGTCTGCATGATGTGTAACTCCTGTGCTATTTTGGCATGGGGATATGAAAACCTCACCAGCCATGGAAAGAATAGAAAACCTCCCTTGTGGTTTAAACTGTCTCCTTGAGTTCTTAAGTGTCATTAAATTACAGCTAGTTCTGGCATACGGTGTTCCAGAAAGAGTTTGTTGCTTTCCCAAACCCACAGGGATAATGAATTGGACAAGAAAGGGCTATAAATACATTACAACTAATACTGCTGCTGAGTTGCTTAGGTACTCATTGACCAATAAGAAATTCTGAATGTTAAGCTCTTTGCAAAATGCTTGCCTGCATATAACCATTGTGAAAGAAGTATCTAGATGAACAAACATATCTGCTAATTTTTATGGGCTTGAATTCTCCCCCCTTATCTTGCAAGGAGTCCTGACGGTGGCAATGGGATAGTCACGGAGGAAACTGTTGAACGAGATGGGTGTTGAGCTGCTTGCTGTGTCCGGGTAGCAGGGTGAGGGCACGTCTGCTTGCCCTCTCCTCATGAGCCACTTGTATCAGAAATTGTGTGCAGAAGACAGCATGTCACCAGGGCTGCTTTTGCTTTCCCTGGGTAGCTTTGTAGGCAGAAGGGATATTGAGAAGGCATATTCACGTGATTACATGCAAGCACCCCTCCTGATGTGGCATCAGCACGTGCAGATGGATTCAAGCTCATCTAGTCTAGTTTGGGCATTCAATAGCATGTTGGCAAGGGAAGCACCCAAACTGCTAAATAGGAAGTGCATCTAGGAAGGAACATAGTGCTGCAGCTTCCTTGTACCTGCCCTAGCTCCAGAGTATTGTGAGCTGTCTCGTGGCGTTGATGGGCATGCTGGCAACCATGCGGGCTCTTTTTACTTACTTCCCCACGGTGCAAAGGGGAAGCAGGAGCTGAAAAGTGATGCTTCATGTGCCCCCAAGGTGCAGAGGGGAAGTTGGGACTGAAAAATGACTCTTCCCTGTTTTACTGTGGGAAGTGGTAAATCCTCTTCTGCTTTTAGCTTGACCCCATGCACAGGGAGTGGAGTTTAGTGAAGCTGTTTGCACTAAGCCCAGCTGGGTTTAGAGAATTTATACTTTAGACTGCTTTTGCTTTGCAGTTATCTAAAGGCCAAATCTTGGCACCATATCTCTGTATGCTCATGAAACATTGCACCACAGGGCTAGGGCCTCTGCCCCGACTCCATCACCCTGTCTGTAGTCGTATGGGAATGTAACCCTTAATGCTGGAATGTGCCCAGCAGTTGCTGCTGTTATCAACTGTCCCCCTTCAAATAGGGGGGGTCAGAGGAAGGGATTAGCCTGTCCTCACCCTCTTGCACTGTAGGCCTTGCTCTTGTCCACTGAGCTGCTTCTGGTGCACAGTGGAGAATGCTGCTGTGGTTTTGGTCTGCTTTTCTTAACCTTGCAGCATTAAACTGCGCTGGTATGAACTTTTATATAAAATATAGTGGCATCCAGAAGTGCTGGGAAACAAGCGAAAAGGTTTCTCTTTGCAAAGAAGAAAAAAACTCCAAATTTGTTGGCAGGGATTGGTGCCTGCTTTGAGTGGTAACGATATGTGCATGTCTTATTGCCCCCTGCCCCTTTCTCTCCCTCTTTCTCTTTCTCCCTCTCTCACACAAGCATTTAAAAAGAAAACGTTGTTTTTTTTTTTTTTCTGGGAATCCAGGATCAGCCAAGGGAGAGAGCGCATTGTCCCAGAACCACTTGCAGCAGCGTAAGAAGTCTGAAAAAGCTTCTCATCCTGGCCTGATTGCAGTAGGTCTTTCATATCTACAGCTATTTCTGTTTTATTCATAGTTTACATTAAGGGTAGTCAGCTCCTTTGGTGGGACTTAAAGTTGCTAGCAATTAAGTCCGTCTGAGAGGCTGAATGTGGCCACGCGTCCTGCTGTCCTGACATGTCTCATCAACCTGCAGACCAGGTCTGACTTGTGTCCAGCGCGGATCACGGGCAGAGACTCAGGTTTCCTGCACCCGCTCTGGGAATGTGTCTTGGGTAAATGTTTAGAAAGGAAGGCTGTCTTTAATGTTTTGGCAAGTGGTTAATCAGTTGGCCTGGAGTCCAGGAGTCAAGACTAGGCTGGTAGCCTGTGCTTATATCCAGCTTATAACTGTCTAGGGTACGCACTACTCAGGGCTGTAAAACACTTAGGAATGTATTCGCTCGCCACTCACTGACATGCAGCTGATGGAAAGGATGGTTACTGCTTCTATATCTTATTTACTGAGCCTTTTTTTTTTGTGTTGTTTGTGGAGGCAGGGGTTGCCTGTCAGATAGCTGGAGCTCACGAGGCCTTGTGCAAGAGCTCGTGTATATGGAATGGGTGGTATTTTAAAAGCTTGCAGGGAGCCTGGGTGGCCCCAAGGAACGCAGAGCTGGGCAGCAGGTCACGTGCAGCGCGAGGCGGTAGCATCCTAGTGGCCTCAACCTCTGCTGGCTTGTCAGCAACTGGAAGTTTGAAGAAGACCTTATGTTTAGGCCGTTGCTAATAATGTGGGAGGCCTATATATGAGTTTGTGTAGGACTGGGGTGCAAATATCTCTGTGAATGTGAGCTATGGCTCTGTTAATATTGCCTTCCTAGCCCAGAGGTGCTTCATACCCAGCCTGCTTGGATGCAAGCCTGTGCTCAGACCTGGCTCCTTGCAGGCCTCAGGCTAGTCTGGGATGGAGAACAGAACTCAGGCTGGTATGATCTGCTAGTACTGATGCAAAACACTCCTTTTTTCAAGTACTGAAAAAGAAGTACTTCAGTACTTTTGCAAAATGTGAAGATTGGATCATAAATGTTTGAGATTCAAAATAACATGCTAATTAAAGTTAGTCGCATTTCAGCTTTAAGAAAATCAGAAGTTTTGGCTTAGGTCATTGGCGTATGTGAAATATGTACTTGTGATGGACCACCAGAAGCATCAGCTTCCTAATAAAGTTTTCAGTATGGAAGTGACAGTAACTGCATTTACAGGGACAGTAAAATACTGCACATGCTGTTTAGCGATGGGCTCTTTCATGAGAAAAAAAATCAACTGAGTTTTCTTTATTCAGAGTCCAGGCTCCTTTGCCAAGGGGAAGGACAGTGCCAATTCATTCTTAAAAGCAGCAGACTATTCCTCGTCTAGTGATGAAGTCGGCAGCAGTGATGAAGATGACATGAACCACACAAGGTTGGCTTGTTTTTTGTTTTTTTTTTTTTTTCCTTCTTATTACACGCTTCTAAATATCTGGGAAAAGTTGGCATATGTAGATACTTCTCCTCTGAAGCTACTATCAGTCATTTATGTCAGCTGTAATTACACAGTTTAATCTCACTGTAATGAACTCCTGGGGGTAAATGTTTGCTCCATCAGAAGTATGCAGTGTAATAAGCTTTGATGACTTGCTGCCTTGGGACAACGAGGAAATGTCTTTTTTTAACTTTTAATATTAATGAATATTAATATGTAGTGTTTTTATAGAGATTATTTCACATTGATCAACATTTAAATAGAATTTTGGGGGGGAAAAAAAGGAAATCTATACTTTTATGCTAAATATAGAATGCAGTGTGAAAAACAGGTTAAACATGACCATTATATTCAATCAGTCTGTTCACTCTAGTAGAAATAATTACCACTGAAAAGCTGATTCTTGCACCTGGGCTATTTATAAATAGGGATGGTGCAAGCAGGATCTGACTTAGTAAAATTTTGCTGTGGTTTTAGTATTGTTATTTTGCAAATTGCTGCAGTTACCAGCTGATACTTTGCAGCTTTTACCAAGCTGCTCTCACAATAACTGTTTTTCTTTAGCTTTCCTGTTTCTCTTGCTGATTTTGTGACTGATATCTTGTGGTGTTTTACCTGTCATACAAAATGTGTATTCTGCTGAGAAATAATGGAGTGTGAATAACTTACTATTCCAAATGAAAGAGAGTAAGGAGATCAGTCAGTCAACTGTGCTATTTGGAAGTGCAAACAAAGTTATTTTTTAATATTGATGAACAAAAATTCTAATTTTCTTGCAAAGAGACTCCCAATTTAACTCAAGTTTTCGGGTTTACTCTGAAGTGCATCACAGTACCACAGAGCTCTCTGGGATGGGACTGTTGCTCTTCTGATGTAATTGCGCATGCTGTTTTGTCAGGCTTCAGGAAGAGACACGGATTTATAACGCTGTTGGCAGGCTCTTGCATTGGCCTGGTACCAGTCCTTTCCAGTGCGCTGCTCTGAAAGCAGAGTTTTTGTGCTTGCATATGCTTCTGATTTGCGTTTTTTGAGTTCATTTTCAAAGCTGAGGGGTAAGGAAGGAGAGTGCTGAAAATCTTGGAGCTTATTCAGTGCACCTGAAAGAGTGCACGTTTCTGTTCAAAACCTTTCTCTTGTCCCTGTTACCTAATGCATGTGAATGCCAGGTCTGAGGCTCCTTCTGTGGTAGTGTTTCTGTGTGGGCTTTGGCTGAGACACCTTGGGCCAGACTTGAGTTGGCTATTGAAAATGATCCTCTTTACTTGTTCTTAACTGGCCTACGGAGCAGCTTTTGATATTTATGCTCCACCTTCCATCAAGGTGCTTAGGAGGACTAGGCTTGGGACATAAGCATATTCAGGAAAAGAGCTTTATATCCTCTTGGTTGAATCCTGCTGGCTACACTGAGAAAGTTTGTTTCCAAGGAAGCCAGGACCAAGGGCAGCTGTCTTTCACTGAAAGAAGAACAACTTTTGGTGGTGGTGTTCTTTTCAATGAGATGAATCAGAATTCCTCTTTGAACGCATCCTTTTCTGTTTTAGGGAAAGGATGTCGTTATATGTGATCCAGCACCATGCCTGCTTGTATAATATGTATATATTCCATGTTCATTTCTCCCACTCTTCCTTTTTTGATGCATGCAGCATTTGCAAAGCCCTTTAAACACCAGATTTCCTGTAGCTCTTTTTTTTTTTTTTTTTTTATAGCTCAGTTATCTCTCTCTGCTCTTTGTAAGCTATTCACTAGCAAAATTTAAACCAGATGGGTGCACATGTGCTTTGCCACCACCAGAAAGTGGAATGCTTACATGTGTTAAGATCACCTGCTGCTTGCTTTCCTGATAAGAGCATGTTCTTGCACCTCATCACTGATCCTACTTTATGCCATTTGAAAATTTAGTATGGGTGCAATGTTTACCCCTCCTGCAGGAGAGAAAAACAAACAAACGAGAAAAGTCTTTATGCTCTTATTAAGACAGTAGACTTCTGCACCAAACCATATTCTTTGTTACTGCCTTGACAATGTTAAAAAAAACTCCAAAACTCTCCTACCGGTTGCAGTTCAGCACTAGTAGTACTGTAGAGCCCTTCACGCCAGGATCCTGAATCCAATCAGTTTGCTAATTATTGGGAAAGAAGCAGAAACGAAATACACTTAAATGGATTGCGGTAATGAGAGCGCTCTGGAGTAGGTGAACATGGAATGAAAGTACACGGAAATGGGGTCAGGGCTTCATTGGCAGAAGTTTGAGGCAGTTGCGCTAGTGTATAAAAGCAGCAGTTTAAAACACAAAGGTATCCCTGCTTGTGTAGGAACTCCCTTAACTGCAGCTAACTGGAAAAGGAGGGATCTATCACAATATGTGCTTGCTCTATTCTTACTCTTTCCTTAGGTGTCTGTTTTTGGTTACTGTTGAAGACAGGATACTGGGATAAACGGAGTCCTCGGACTCGCGGCCGCTCGGGCATGTCCACAGACTAATCAACTTGCTTTTGTGCAAGAACCTTAACATATAACTGGGGAACGTTAATTATGCTCAGTTTTGAACATGTGTTTGTGGGTTTTGGTTTCTTTTTGTTTTGTTTTGTTTTTTCTCCCCTGAAGTAGTTCTCTTCATTAACTGGAGTTTGTTACCAGGCAACCGCTAAGTAACCGCGTGGCAGATTTCTCAAGGACGAGGGTACCAGATGGAATTGAACTGAAACCCCAAAGCACCGTCACAGAACAGAAGGTAATTTGGCCTTTTGTAAGGGGGGTGGGTACGCTGGCGTGGGGAGTCAGACCATTAATGTACGTGATAAACACTACATCCATTTCTTCTGGGCAGCCTTTTCACCGTGAAGTCCTGTGCAGTCATTTCAAATTATAGCTATAAGCCTTGAAAAAAACATGAACTGTTTCAAGTTTTGTGCTTCCTATAAATACGCTTACATTTAGGTACAAAATCGTGCCTCTTTATTTGTCTTTGTTATTGAGCTGGCAGTAGTTTCTGATATCAGCAGAATGTGTTTCCTGAATGCGCTGGAGGAGTTGAAAAAAAGCAATACTGTTGATCATACATAGTCAATGTGTATTGTTGGTATTCTTAAAAATTTGACCTTTTTTATTCCAATTTAAAGAGAAGTATCCCTTACTTTTTAAAAATATTACCCAAAGGGAGAAAAAACACTTCATCCCTACAGACTCAGCAAAAATATGTTTCTTCTCATATGCCGTGCTCTGGTTCCTTCCCAGCTGTAGCATCTAGCAAAGACTTCATGAGTCCTGCGGATTTTCCTCAGTGATAAATATTAGTGCAGAAAAGATGAGGACAGACAAAGGAGAGCAATGTTCCTTGTGGTCAAAAACAAAAAAAAAATGCAGTAATAAGGCTTGGACACAATGTCAGAGCACTTCTTGCATATTACTGAATGTATTCTCGTTTTGCAGATAGGGAAAATAAATTACTGTGAAACTGATGTTTTCCCCACTGCTGCTAATGTGAGCTGTGAAGGAACTAGGGGGAAAGAGCTAGGAGGAAAAAAAAATTTCTTTTACCTCAAGTGTGATTTCTAAGCTTCTGGCCCTGCTTTGGAGAAGGAATTGTAAACAAGGAATCAGACCGAGCCGTAATCTCAACAGCTCAGACCGTTCATCATCTTCAAATCTAAACTGAACCTGAGCCATTATTTTAAAGTTTATCGATCCATACCAGAAATGAAAGAATTTCATTTCCACCAATTCAGAACAGCAGCGTGACAGAAATGATTGTGCTTTATTAAACAATTTCACCTTCACGGTCCCTCCATCTCTACCCACATGGTTGCGAAGGAATAAACAATACTAACTCCAGCCCTTCTCCAACCCCCCTTTCCCAGCTTCAGAGCTCTTTCCTGGCTCTCCAACTTGAGCCTGCCCGTTTTTCCCCTGTGGTAAGAACGACTCAATGCTTTCCCCTTTCCCTGATAATCTGGGTATTGACTGGTCAAGGGAAAGGAGAAGGACTGGGGTCTTTGAGTCCCATATTGGGGATGGCGGAGGATGGACAAGGATGGAGGTCCTGTTTTCTGGTGAGCTTGGTGAGGGGGTCTCAGGAGAGAGAACAGATGAATGACTCCCACCTCTCCTCACAAACATCTCTGACCCCTTCCAGTCTCTTCCCTTCTTCTCGTGGAGAATCCTGTCCATTCCTCCCACCTCCATTTCACCAACCACAGCCACCGTGAGTCTCCCTAACCTCTTCCAACATCCCTTTCCCAGGCCCTTCAGCATGAACTGATTAGGAGTGGTTAGGGTGTACTAAACTGCCCAAAAAATTCAAAGAGGGCTTTGGTTCAACACTGAACCAAACACAGCTGAACCTGACCCAAAGCTGAACAAAAAAGCCCCATAGGGATTTGATTCCCTGATCTCAAAATACTAACATATGTGTTATGTTTTTTAAATAGCCAAAGTGAAAAGTGAGTTGCTTAGAGCATCAATTTGATTTCTAGATAATTACTTGGTTTTCAAAAAGCAAACAGCTTTTATTTTAGAATTATCTACCTTTTGGGGGATATATTGGCCAGCATTCAGAAAAAGCTTAGCTGGTTTCAGTAGGTGGTTTATCAAAGTCAGTACGATGTACAGACTTGCCTTGAATTCAACCAGTCAAAAATTGTTTGAGTGTGGCGGTACGTTTTGCTTTGGTATAATTCAGGACGAATTTTCTAGTGTAGTACTTGGCTCCCATCCCATTTTACACTTCACTGCCTATGGCACAGTCCAGTACCCTGTGGCACTAAGGGGGAGAGTGTCTTCTGCATTGCCCTCTCCATCTGGGGCAAGCTCACTTTACAAATCCCATCGTTCTTCCTCTCAAAGCTCCTAGCACTGCTTTCCTAGGAGCTTACCCACGTGGTCCAGTGACTCGGTACTTCACACTGTCAGTGAAGAGAGCTTGTATGATGCTTCATAACTTACCTAGTTTACAAGCATTTCTTCAAAGCTGGTGGGGTCCTACAAGGAGGGCTGCAGAATCAAATCTGATTGTCATGGCAAGGCTGCTACTGGATCCTACTGAATGTAGGAAATGTTCTAAAAGAAGGTTTCCTAACTCAGTAGATGTAAAATAGCAATGAAAGTAATAGGGAGCTTTGAACTAAATGCAGGTCCTGAATCAAGAAGTACCTACTTCTGACCTTGGCAGAGGTCAGATCTGTAGTGTTAGGACAAGTTATCTGATTCTCTCTCTCAAGTGTCTCTGAGGATGGAGCTACTTCTTTAACCAACAGGTTACCTTGGGGTGTGGTAGATAGCATTTGTGGAGCACTTCAGAGGTGGAATCCTGTGTTGATGTCTCAGGGGTTTGCCACATGCTTTTGTATTTTCCTTTTATTTTAATCATTCTGTAGGGCTCATCTTTACCTGATACACCATGCGGAGTATAATAGCACCCTCCCCTCTGTCCTCATTAGTTATTGTCCTAATCAACTGGAGTTGCATAGTGCATTGGAAGTACGCCGGATGTGGACTTTAACCATGTGTTCTCCTCTGCAGGATCAGATTTTAGGGAAACAAATTTCTAGCACCCAAGAAAGCCTCTGGAGTGTAAACAACCAGAACTATCTCCTGCCAGATCTGCTCCAGCAAAGCCAAGTTTCAGACTCCTCTCTGAACCAGCCGAAAGTGCCACTGACCAGCCAGGAACCTCAGAGCAAATCTGTGAATAAGGTACACAATAAAATTAGGTTTATTAGACTGAATTGAACCATCGTTTCCCTGCAGCTGTTAGTAGCCTTAGTCTGAGAGTCTTTCAACTCCATCTGTCCTGTCTCTTTTATGATGAGATGTTTGACCATGTTCCTTCTTTTCTTTTAAAGCTTTTTTCTAGGGGCTAAGAAATCTTGGGCTCCCTACCTGTTCTGTTTTTCCAGGTGTTTCTCCTCCACCCGTCTGTCTCTCTCCTTCCCTTTCTCTCCATACTTCCTTCCCCCCACCTTACCCCATACAAACTTGAAAGCTCAAGGGCTTTTGCCCTCTGCTCCTTTACCTGTAACGTCATCAGCACAGCACTCTGGTCTGCTCTCTTCACTGTTGCCGAGTTGCCTTCAGCACAAATGTCAGTTGACAGTACACAGGGGCGTGGACCAGAGAAACACGTCTTGGCAGCCTCAAGGAACTTCAGTCGTGCTAACAGCACAGGAGGTGCTGTGTCTCTCTGTTGGGGAGAAGTGTGTTACTGGGAGCAGATAATAGCTCTGTCGTAAGACAGGTCCTAAAAACCAGCCTTACTTCAGACAACAGCTTCCTCCTTACAGCAGGACATTACTCAAATATCTTTGCTGATGATGAAACAGGAAGGAGTGATCGAAGGAGACCCTTCTGTAAGGAGACCCTTATTCATTCTCCTCTTCTAGGGACCAATTATTTCATTGCAGTGCAGTATCTAGTTAAGAATCCTGACACAACTCCCTGCTCAGGCTTCCTGTTTTTCTCATTGAATTTGTACTGGTACCTACTGCTGTAAGATGTTTGTCACATCTATTTATGCCACATGCCATTTCCTCTAAACCTCAGAGGCACTCATGATGTTGCTGTGTGCTATCTGCTCCCCTAGTGTTGTCTTCTTGAACAGACCTTGTTTTTCATTGTAGACGCCGTGCACTGAAAGTACACCTTCAAAAAGCAGTACATCATCTACAACATCGTTTACTTCATTCATAGATCCTAGACTTCTGCCAATCACCCCTCCCACCAGTCCGGTAGGACCTCCCTGTAGTTCTCGTGAGTATGCTTTACCCTTCTCATATAATGTCATTCCTGGGGCTCGCTCTTGTTTCTTTTTTTCTTTCCCTCTTTCGGGGAGAGGAGGGTTTATTGCTTGAAAAATTGCAACTATCAGTAACATCTCCAGAAACTGAAATGCTGTGTAGCTGTGAGCTTCGTTGTACCGCTTCTGATCCTTCTTCTGAATGCAGCTTGCTCTGCTCTACTGCTGTGTTGTCACAGCGCATACTCAGGAATACGTGAGAAATTTTCTGTACACGTGGTTCTTTCTCTTGCTATATTATGCTCCCAAGATGTTTTCTGACCTCTTTGGAGTTTCTTTCATTCTGCCATAAACAGGCTAAATGTGAGACATAGCCAAACATTTACATTTTTCCTGATTCCATGTGTCTTTTCTTCTAGCATCTAGTGTAAAACCTGAGCCTATCAGGAGAGAGAATGTGAGGAAGGGCTCCGTTGTCAATGTTAACCCAACAAATATTCGCCCACAGAGTGACAGTCCAGAAATTCGTAAATACAAGAAGAAATTCAACTCGGAGATCCTTTGTGCTGCTTTGTGGGGTAAGCTGAGAAGCACATGGGCTTATGTATGGAGGGAAGGCAGCAGCAGGAGAAGTTGTCAGCATATGCCAGGCAGGTTTCACAGTTGTATTGCACCTCTCCTGTCAGAAAATCCTGGAGTAGTTCACTAAGTACATATCTACACACCACTCGCATGATACTGCCTTCCTCATAAAAGGTGGCAAACAGATGTGGTACAGTTGCAAAGGATTTTGTACATCAGAATGAGAAAACGTTTTGAACAGGCACCATATTAAAACTGTGCTTGCTGAAAGAGCCAAAAGATGCAAACGTTTTAGTAATGTGAAACGAAGAAGGTTCGTGATGCTCTGTCTTTCGTAGCAGAATAAGTTTTCAGATGATCATGTTAAGCTCTGCCCCGGTATCCATCAAGTTCTGAAGAGTGGAAATAATCCAAACCTGAAGGCTTTTGCCATTGTGTTTGTTAGTTGTTCCAAGAATCTTTCTGTGAGAATTTGAGCAATCAGAGACTGAAGCAAGTTAGGCATCAATCTCTCCAAATACTTGCCTGCCTTAGTTTCCACCTTGCTGGATCACCTTTTTTACAGGGTCATCTTTAAATGGCATGAAACTAAAATTGGTGTAGTCAGACCAATTTTCAACAACTAAAGACTTTGTCCCAGTCTTACAGTAGCTAAGTTCTTGAGTTGTTCTAACCATCTGTCTACTTGTAAAGAAAAGGATGTATTCTATGGGACTCACTTAGCCTTTTATTTCTGGTTGTTTTTTGAGTCTGGAATGAAAAATGCATGAAGTAGGTGAAACATTATCCAAAGGAAATGTAGATTTCCAGTCTGCAGCTTCACAGGTTTTGTGTAATGTATGTTGGAAGAAGCTCACGATTTTAAATTAAGAACAGAGCTGTGTAGCAAGGTCTGTAATTAAACGTGTGCCAAGGTTGAAGAGCACCAGGTACTCAGCAGAGCATTGCCAGTAAAACTTTGCTTGTTACAGCAGGATACCTTATGTCGTTTTTTTAGAACCTGCTGACTGGGAAATGTAGCTGTCATGCCAGCCAAACGTTTTTATACAGGGTGCATCCTCTGGTGTCGACAGCCCACTGGAGCCTTCACTTCCTTGGGAGCAATTGGATTTCAGACAGATTCACTCCTTTAATTTGGCGCTTAAGAGCATTTTTGCAAAACATAGACTGTTTTCCAAACAAACACTCCACTTCCTAGTATCAGCAGCCCCTCTTCCAACAAGTTTAGTCCTTCTCCTGCACTTTGAATCTTGTCTTTGGGGGAAAGGAGGATCATAGTTTTTAAAACTGGAAGAGACTCTTGGATCGTTTATTTGGGTCTCCTGTGTGACAACAGAATGGTGCTGAACTCTGAGGTTTTTGCAGTGCTTGCAAGCACTTGCCAAGGTCAGCAGAAAAGTTCAAGTTCACAAGGCATTTTCTTGTTGTTTAAATACACATTGACTTTAGTGGAACTACTCATGCTTCAAGTTATATAAGCATGTAAGTGTTCTGCTGGGTAAAAGCTTTAATGGTGCGATTCTTATTTCTTTCATTTTTCTGGGAGGTCATTCACCGAACAACAGAAAAATTGCCAGGTACCATGAAGAAAGATCAAATAAGAATCAATTCTAAAAATAATTAACACTGGGTAAGCTCGAAATCATTAGGTGATTTATGTTGTATTTTTTTTAACCGTGTATTGACAGGAGTAAATTTACTGGTTGGAACAGAGAATGGGTTGTGGCTGCTGGACAGAAGTGGGCAAGGAAGAGTTTATTCTCTAATTACAAGGAGACGATTCCAGCAAATGGATGTTCTGGAAGGACTCAATGTGCTAATTACTATATCAGGTTAGTTCAGTGTGTAAAAAGTATCTGACCTGCATGGGGTTGGAAGCAATTAAAAAGAAGAATTAGGTTATAAACTAGGTTGAGGAATTTGCTCTAACAGGACAGTTATTCCTGTTAATAGGAAAACAATCTTGAATTTTCAACATTTACATTCTCATTACAGATTCAGATGAGCTTTGGGATATTTCATTACCTGGTTAATGTGTAAAATAGTTTGTGGGAGGTATAATATGTGTCATATCCTTAAAATGAACTGGTTCCTAGCAAGTAATAGTTTGTCAGTTTGTGTTTGTTTACTTGTTCCTGTGATGGGTGAGCATCGATTTAGATGCAATTCCATTAAAATATCATTAAATAACCTCATTCTGTGGTCAACAAGATGCATAAACAATAATACGAGGGTAATTTGTGCTGTGAATAGCATCAAATGGAGTAGCGTCTTCAACCTCTACTGACAAAGAGCTTGGACTCTACCTTGCTAAGGCACTGAGGCCCTTATTTGCCCATGGATGAGAGTGGCCTCTAAGGATACTTAGTACATAACAAGGTCAGAGATGTCGATCCAGCAGTGCGTTGCTGCAACTTGCCTACAGTCCAGACTCACTGTGGAAGATGTTGGTGAGAGCTGTTTGTCCCTTACTGCTGGTTTCAGTTGTTCGTGTGACATGGTCCTTCTCTTTAGACTACCTAGTGATCCTAGACTGCTGTTGACTCTACATCTTTATGAACTAAAGCAATAGAAAGGCTGACTGAGATAAAAGATGACAAAGTAATTCTCACCCTGCAAGGCGTCCAGAAGAAAATAGCTACCTGTAATGAAGGTTGTCAGTTAATTAGAATCAGAAGAATCACTTATTCAGAATGGCCATTGTAGGCAATATCTATATTCCTACCTCCCCATCAGAGAGCAAATGCCAGATAATCTGATTATCTCTGATAATACATGCATCTATAGAGACCTATTCTTTAGCCTGAGGAAAGAATTTTAATCGGGTATGAAACTCTTGCATTGACGCTTCAGTCGCGTATGCCAAATGCCATAGGATTGTTCATATTCCAATTCCCACTTGAGTGCCATCATCACACAAGGCTGCTTTCTTTTGTGCTGCTGGTCTCTTTTCTCACCTTAATGAGGCACAAAGGCCCTCTGTATTCAAGGTCACAAATCTCAGGCTTTTGTGAGCGCGGGAGAGTTTGTGCTTCAGTGAGCTAGATCATGACATCTGTCTTTTCCTGCAAATCCCAGGGAAGAAGAATAAGTTAAGAGTGTATTACTTATCATGGCTGAGAAACAAAATTTTGCGCAATGATCCGGAGGTGGAGAAGCGGCAAGGCTGGGTGTCTGTGGGCGACCTAGAAGGCTGCGTACACTACAAAGTTGGTAAGGTCTTTTTGGTTTGTCCTTAGAGTTCTGCATAATCATCCTTTGATTAAGCACCCTCATCTCACAACACGAGCATTTTTTCTTTGAGCTTTATTTCAGAATTGCACTGGGCATAATGTCTCTGACTGTTGCCCAATCACCTTGTTTTACATGGCAGATGCTTTTCTCCCTCTAATTCTAGATAGCCTCTCTCCTTGCAGCCGTTACCAAATGGCGTTACAGCTATTTCCTGCGCAGGCTGGAGAAGGGAGTGACGGCCGTGGTCTGTTGCGCAGTCAGTGGTTTAGAAGTTCTGTAGTTACTTAAGGCCTCCATTAGACTGAGGTTCTCCACGTGCATGGTATTCAGCTTCTCTCCTGACCCTGAGTAACTGCTAGTTAGACTAGTAAAATTGGACTAGTAAAGTGCTAGTAAATCTTATCTGTAGGATGTCCATAGGTAGGTCAGATTGGATGTTCTACTGCTTATCCCTGTATCTGTATTATAAAACAGCTGAGTATACCTCTTTTTTTTTTTTTTTTTTTAAAACTCATACACTGCAATTGGTACCGTAGCAGTTGAAGTACCATCTGGATTTTGTTTGACTTTCAGGCAGTCCATTCTTGCAGATGAACAGCAGTATTGTGATAGTTTCTATCATTTACCTGTGTTGAGGGGGTGTGATGTATAGCTCAAGTTTCACTTTATTGAAAGACAGTATACAAAAGTGGCATTTTTCAAAGCCAAATAGAGAAAAGAGATAGGGGAGTGCAGGAGATGGGAAGAGGGGGTGAGCTCTCCTAAATGCTTTGCTTGACCTTTCTTTGCTTTTAGATCTCATGGCTTTGAAAGTAGCACAGGTTAAATCCAAGAGAGTGAAACAGATGTATTGTAACTTTCTTTGTAATTATGGCTAAGCACCATGTATTCCACTTCCCTTGCTTATTGTTGGGTTTGGTGTGTTTAAAAAAAAATCCTAAAATTAGGCAGACGTTTACTAGGAGCTTTTGTGTGTACATGTGAGAGTTGTGAATCCATTAACTGATTTGAATAAAAGCTTTGTCGACGCTCTTTGAGGCAGGCATCCCCTTACCAAGCAACCCTTTCACACGTTCTGTTGGAATAGCAATCTCCTGTTGTGATCAAAATGTGATTGCATTTGCTGAGCTTGCAGAGAAGCTCTTTAGCTTTGCAAAGGACTTTCCCTATAAAATTGACAGTTTGGTTACTCTTTTTTTTTTTTTTTTTTTAATGCAAATAAGGCTTCCATGGAAAAAAATGGCCTGCAAGCCCATCTTATTGCTTTGACAAAACAGCAGCTATTATTTTCTTGATGGTGCATCTTCTCATATCTTGCCCTTTGTTTTTACAGCCCTTTTTCCAGGTAGAAGAAGAAAAGAATGTATTGTTTTGTGTGTGTTTTTGGTTTTTTCCTCTCCCCTTTCTCAGCCTATGTTAAATTTTTCTGATCAATGTCCATCCTTATCCACTCTTTATGGGCCTCTGCTATATGTCTGGGAAGAAAGAAACGCTCCTGTTGTAAGTGGCAAGGGCTGACCTAGCCCGCCTCCCACAGAAAACATACCTTAACTCAGTTGTATAACACCTGCATCTTTTCAAACTCCCTACCAAGCAGATACTGGATGTAAAATGAGGGGAGACTGCATCAGGATGCAGTGCCTTAGCATTCTGTTTCCAAAGCAAATGCTTGCCTCTGGCAGAATTAAAACAAAATGTACAAAGAAGCCTTAATTTTCAATACAAAATTTTGCGTTTGTTCTCGATGCCCAGCATGAGCCTAATCAACTTGGAGAAACTGCTCATCTCTTAAATGCTTACCCATCTCAAAAACATGGGAGTGCTTTGCCCACACTAGCACATGGAGATTTAACCCCACACAAGAGCAGTAAAATGAAAATTTAGCCTGCAGAGTATAACAGAGTCGTTCAGCAAACCACTATTCCTCCAAGAGTAGCTTAGAAGATACTGTAGTATATGCACAATGAGCAACGGTGGTGTGGGTTCACATTTAAATTGAAGTAGCTTGGCCTTCCTGCAGGGCTCAAGCTTTTTTTCCTGGCAAGGCTTTGTTACAAGAAAAATACATACACATGCTGCACACACAAATATATAAAAGTGATATATAAATTTTGCTAACCGTTGTCTGGGTTTACTGACAGCAATTGAACTACAGGTTTGCACTCAAGGTAATTTCACTGGTGATATTAAACATTGACATCCAGAATCCAGTAGTCTCCCTTGCTGGATAGTTTCTTCCTCTACAAACAGTCCTGTAAAGTTATTCCAAGTGATTTTGATTTAAGTTTTCATCTGATACCTAAGAAATTGTTGTTCTTGTATTACAGTAAAATATGAGCGAATTAAATTCCTTGTAATTGCTTTGAAAAACTCAGTGGAGGTTTATGCTTGGGCTCCAAAGCCTTATCACAAATTCATGGCTTTTAAGGTAAGTGAAACTTCATTTTCATTCAGATGTACCGCTGTCCCTCGCTATTTTATCATCTACTCTTTGCTTTTGCTTTTTGTTGCTTTGCATAACATTTATTTCTAGTTAAAGATAAAATGAATACTCTTTAAAAGAGAACGTAGCTCATTTGACGTGCATTGGAGATAACAGGCATAAAACTGTCACACTCATGTTTCTGTTAGATGTGAACAACTTGTTTCAGCGCAGTGCCAAAATGTATGTTTGAATTCGCAAAGTTGATGCTGGTTTCCCTCAAAAAAGGGAGTAATTTAACATGAATGGCACTTAGCTTAGTTTTTGCCTCGTCCATTTCTAGAATCTGGATTTTTTTTCAAAACACAAGTGAATTATCCAGCTGTCTTTGAAGCTCAAGGGATGATGGATACTTGCTTGCTCCTTTAATGTAACATACTACTGTAACAAAAATAGCTGCCCAGCTTTTGAGAGCTGAAAATTCTTGAGCAAGATCATATATGTTGATCTGGAAACCAACAGCTTTATTGTGTTACACAGTGTCTGATTTTTCTTTTTCCAGTCCTTTACGTCACTTCATCACAAACCACTGTCAGTTGACCTGACAGTTGAAAATGGGCAAAGACTAAAAGTGATCTATGGCTCACTAGTAGGCTTTCATGCTATTGATGTGGATTCTGGATCGGTGTATGACCTGTACCTTCCAACACACGTAAGATATTCCAAAAAAAATAAGTAAACGTATCTGTTTGTTGGGCTGTATGTCGATGACGTTTGGATAAAGTGCTGTGTTATATTTCAAAACACAGGGTAGGAGAATAATTTTTTTTTATGACAGCTAGTAGAAAACTACTTTTCACATATTTTTATAACAATGAACTCTGTTAAAAATCTTTCTTTTCTCATGTTCAGAATATCAATTTTGTAATTTGTCAGAAAGCCTGTTGTATGGACAATACTATTTTTAATTGATTTATCCTGGAAATTTAGGATGAATTTAAAGTGTTAAAAGTCGCAATAATATCTGCATGAATTTAGGTGACTTCTACAATCTACCAGTGTGCTTTTGAATGTAACAAGCTGATTAAGATATCACTGAACTGAGCTGAAACTTGGCCCAGGTTACAAAGACTTTTGCAATATTTTAAAGTTTTGATATACTACAGAAATGTTACCTTTGCCCTAATGAGTACCTGTAGCTAGAGAAGCCAGGTGTAAGCTGAGCTCGAATATAAATAATGTTCCATCAAAATATTTGCATCACAGTCTTATATATTGGCATGTGTATACATGTGCTCCCCTGAATAATCCCAGTTTATTCACCCTGGAGCACAGTTGCGTTTGTTTTACAAGATTAGAGATCCAAGCTCAGCGTGCAACATGTGATTTGCCTTTCAGTCACGACTTCACAGAATCCCAACTTCCAGACTAAATAAATTTGCTGCTCTTATTGCTCAGTTGCCCACGAAACCAGGCCTGAAATTCAAAAGAATTTTTATACTTTTGTTAGGACTTTCTCATTAGATTTTCAAGCAGAAGTTGGCATGATGATGTTCATCTTGGGTTGATTTGTACATACTGCACTGTGTACCTGTTTGCTGGAATGACGGTGACCGCTGTAAACCTCTTTAAACCCAGCTAACAACAAAGCAATTCCTCGGCAGATGTGAACAGCAGGCATGGGGCTGCCCCGGGTGAAATTAGTGCTCTGGTTTTAACCTTTTTGTTTGTTTGGTTTTTAGCTGCAGATAGTTCCTTTCAAATTTGTGGGCTCTAAAAGCCAGAGAAATGTGGGGAGTTAGGTTCAAAACGCTGATGGGTGCCCATTGCTCCAGTCTGGCAGGAGGCTCCCTGCAGGGGGACGTCTGTGCTCACGTGAAAACCTCCCTGAAGTCAGCAGCGCTCTGTCCTGGCGGAGGGGTTAGCTAATCTGGGTGCCATTGCCTCACCGGATCCCAAGGCAACGTGACCCAAAGGGAATTCTGAAGAAATCTGATCCCGGATCGGCGCGTTGCAGCCTGTGCCTTGAGGCACTCATTTTTATTTCTTTGTTTGTAATCTGCTCTCAGTCCCGTGTTTTCCAACCAAATGAAAACCCACGCCTCCTTAGCAAGCCACTTGATCACCCGTGCTGTCCTGAAAAGTGACCGCCTTCAAATGCTGTCAAAACCGTCTTTCTAATAGCTACAATGTTTGAGGATGGTTAAGCTCATAAACTTCTTTTAATTAAAAAATAACTTTTTTAGATATTCAGAACAATGTGTCGAATCGCTTGCTAAAAGCTATTTTTTTAAGAAACTTTGTATTTCTGTTGTTAAATTGTATATTTAATCCGACAATTAGTCGCATTGTTAACCATGCAGCTGTTGAAAATTGACATCACTTTATAACTCTAACCATGATGCCTGCGTGCCATCCCTGGAAGTTGGTTGCTAAGCAAGGTGAATAATGACTTGTCAAAAAGATCATTAACATAATTGCCCAAGATGTGAAAGGCAAAGGAAAAAGTGAACCTTCTTAGCGCTTTCAGTTTTTCAGCAGGCTCCAGATGTAATTATGTACATGATGAGAGATACTCCCCAGGTGAATGCCCTGAATATGTGGGGCACCTTTAAGAGGACCATGACTCCTTTTGTGTGCTTTTCCACCAAAAGTTAGCATGTACTAAAAATACATTCTCCCTTAAGAGTCTTAGACCTGAAATAAATCTGCTGCTACAGTGGCTGTATCTTTTTTGGCATCTTGTTACTTTCAAGAGCATCAGATAGACTGGATGATTCTCTCAAGGAGCTTTGTAGTGGCAACAGACCAGACTTTAACAGGCTGACTTTAGATACTTTTGCTTTCTGGTACCCTCTTTTCCTCGTTCCCCACCTCTTTCTCCATCTCTTACCTGCTTCGATCGCTCATGCGAGTACCAAGGCAACGCATTAAAATTGCTCTGCGACTCTGGATACCTGTTCTAGTGTTACGGATAGTTGTTGCGGAGGCACGGAGTCAAGTGGTTGGCCAGAGTGTATTCAGTTTGGCAAGTACAGCTTCAGTGCTTCTTTACTGTTCGTTGTGCCGTTACGGCATGCGTAAGTGTATGTGCTTGAAGAAAAAAGATCTGTGTGTTGCTGGCTTGTGAAAATGATGTAGAAACTCCAGTTGTGTGCTTCCTATAGAAATATTAATTGCAGTGGTTTAATTTCCTATGTAATTAACATCCTGGTTTGAGTAGTGCTTTGAAAAAGGAAATGCTTTGTTACTGATTTTTAAGGCTATCCTCTTTTTCTTTCAAAAATATTTTCATAACCTCCCACCTTTGTAGTTGTATACGTGGTTTTTTTTTTTTTTTTTTTCCACTTGGGACGTGTCTTGGCTTCTGGGAGAGATTCTAGTGCTCTGAACAGCTGTTAAAATAACTTGTGTGAATGAAATGCACTATTCCTGTGGCATGCAGAAAATGTATGCTGAACAACATTTAAAGGCCTCTATTATTAGTGAATAATATAGATGGGAGGGAGGGGCATAGTAGAGTGGCTTGTGTTTGAAAGGTCCAGGTAACTTTTTAGCTTGCTGTTAAGTACTGTTAAGCTTACAGGTTTTAGCTTGTGAGTGGGGTTAAAGAAATATCGTGGAAAGTGAAAGCACTGATTTTCTGGAATGTGGAAGCTTGTGTCCCTGCTCCATCATCTTCTGAAATAATTTGGAATTCAAATTCTATTCACCTTCCTTCTGTCTCTTTATATAATGCTAGTGTTTCATGAATGAGTCAGTAAATCTTACTGTTTCTCAGTGGCTCTTTGTCTTCTGGAACCCAAGTAATACTGGTAAATATAAAGTGAAATATTGAACGTTGACTTATTTGCAAACCTTCTGTAACATCTGAAGGGGGGAGGAGGGGGGAAAAGCCCAGGTCTAGCCCATTTTTTGCTAGCTAGCAAAATATACAGCCTTTCTGAAAACACTTCTTTCACTTTCCATGAGCTGTGAGCAGTTATTTTTATTGCTGTGCCAAGCCTAGTTAGATTGATATAGTCACTAAAATTGCAGTCCATTTTCCGATATAAATCTTAGTAAAATATGATTCCAGATCCAGGGGACTATTCGCCCACATGCCATTATCATCCTCCCGAATACCAGTGGAATGGAACTTTTACTTACCTACGAAGATGAAGGCATCTACATTGATATTTATGGGCATTTCACAAAGGAAACTGTTTTACAGTGGGGAGAAATGCCAGCATCTGTAGGTATGTATGAAAAATAGCACTTTATTAAGTGTAAGATTCTGCTATATGAAACTTGACTTCTTTATTAGGTTTGTATCCATCTGAAAGTTGTTGTGTGGCACACTAAGCAACTTCAGAGCCAAGCAAATGTCTAACGAGTAAACAGAGTAAATGTCTAAAGAGTAAACACAGAGTTAACAGTGTTAAGACAGCCAATGACTGCAAAAGGGTCTTCACATTTGTACCATAGAATTTATATTCATATCACACTGTCACACATCATGCGTTTAGTATCCAGCCAAACTTCACTGAGGATGCAGCCTACCACCAGTTTTTACTTATGCCATTTAAATGAATTGCAGAGAGAAAAAGGTGCCCTTGTTTCCTACTTGGATTGTTCATAGCCCATAGCATTTTAAGTAGACGTTCACAACTTTAGAAGGCTCCGTCACTGAAGAGGTCTATAACCACTGCCAAATGGCCCCTTAATTGTACCGCTTTGAATTCAGAGTGCCGCTGGTCCAGAGTATTTGTGATAGGCTCTTGGTCTCTCCATGCTTTTGGTTGGCTTTGAAGGAAGGAGATTCCGATTGTACTGTAGCGAGGACAGCCGTTTGCTTCACCTTCCCTAGAGGGCTTCCAGCCAACAGTGTGGGGAAAAACAAGAACATTCCCAGGTAGATTTTTGTTTTTAGAATTTGGTGCCTTTAATTTCTATTTTGGCTTGCTCCTATTCATCTGCATCTTAAAGCATACAAACAAAAAAAAAAGCCTATGATATTCCGATTGTGCAAAAGCATATTATTAGCATGGGAGAAACTGGAGACCACAGTGAAGAATCAGGCATGTTCACCTTTTTCTTTCCACTTCCAGGAAACTAGGTAACTTCCAGGGAAACTCTGTTAAAATCAGTAGACTAACACGAGAGTAAATACCAGGTCCATCATTCCTCGAGGACTGTCTACAGTACTGAGGGCAAATGGCTCACCTCTGGAATGTGGATTCCTACAAGGCAACTTAGTTTTTTGGCACTGTCAGAATAAAGTTGAGCATCAAAACTGCTTCAGTTTTAAGAATCAGTTCACTTTTGTTAAGTTTGTAAGCTAGCTATCTAGTTTTTCTTTTCCTCCAATAAATAAACTAATCTCTGCTTTTCAGCTCATATCCAGAGCTGCAAAGCATAATTAAAATATATCAAGTCAGTTTTCCATTTTTCATATTCGAATATTAAATGGCCTTTGATGTGTTGAAATTTTACATCCCCTCTGAATTAATGTTAGAAGCACCATAAGAAATAATGATCAAAGAGCAATTACCCAGCAAGGTCAGGAAAAGAAAAGTTCTAATGAGAAGTATTGAGCGTAATTGGAAGCTACATTGAAAAATGTTATCTGAAGGAGGCAGAAGCTTTCAGGAATCATGCCATTATGGGAAGTACCTTCCTTATGCTTTAGGAAAAGTAGCAAGCTTACTTAACATGAAGATCTTTTATTTTTTTAATTTTTTTTAAGTAATGTCTTACCCACCTTATGGTGTGTATATATGAGATGTGATTTTCGTTAAGTATTTAAAGTCTTTTGTTTTCCCACACACGCTTCCAATTTGCATTCCCTTTTCCTGCCTTGGGAAGTAACAGAATTTTAAAGCTGCATTTATAATTACTGTCCTGCCCAAAACTAACCCTAATCTCATGTTTGATAATTTTTGAAGCATGGATATTATTTGTAAGTATTACAGAGTTTTCCAGTTGTATTATTCTTACTATCTGCTATGCCGTAAAGAGTGTCTCGTATTAGAGGCACTGCAGTGTGCTGCAAAGACGGATGTTAAAAAAAATGGCTCTGTTAGATCCTGCTTTAGAAAGGGGGATATGGCAAGAAGGGTCGCTTAGATTTATGTCTCCTATTTGGAAATTAGCAGTTTGTGACACTGGGCACTG